GGTCAGCTAAAGCATTGGTTGTTATATTGTTTTTTTTATGGTCTTGGATTTGGAACGTCTGGAAAATATGTTTTCAACCTTCAAAAAAAACCAAAACTGTTTGAAAACCAGGCTCCTTCTTCACTTGTCTTCATTTCCTCCCGCTCTATGTGGCACTTCTCTGTTTCCCAAATATCCCTTTGACTTAACTTGTCTCCCCTTTTGAAGCTGAAATGTAGCCAAAGACAAAGCAGTGAATTCTTGATGGTCTTCTGATCAAGACAGATATGAGAGTAAAGGCCCAGAATACACGCTTGAGAACCATCCAAAGAAGAAAACAAGTATTCAGCCATTTTATTATGAGCATATTGATTATTGATATTGACATACATTGATTAGTTGTATGTGGAGGTGCCGCTCAATTTGCACCTATCACTTTTGGTGTGAACTGCCCCGTTAGTCCAGCGTTGGAGTTAAATGTATTCCGTTCGTATAGATTTGTTACAGCTTTATAAACAGTTCCAGTTCCATTTGAACTTAATGAGCGACGTCTCGGTTTAATCCACGGCTCGACGGTGATTGTTGTGAATCTAAAGTCAATTCTTCGACTGAAAGACAGCGTACACGGTACGACAGCTGTTTAATGACTTCGACCTCTGTTTTTAAAGTTCGACCTCAGAGACACGACGGCAGCGTTTTTGCGCGCTTCACTTTATTTACTGCCACCAATGCAGGTAAAAAGACAGAACCAGAATCCCTGCTCACCACTCAAGGAACCCCAAGTACCCCACTGACACACATACTGCAGATTGAGAACCACTGCAGCAAAGCATTGGTTAGGCGTTGACAATGGTTTAAAGGGACAGTTACTCTTTACTGATCGCCATGAAACACATGTCAAATTTCTATTTGTTTGTTTACCTTGTATTCTGCATGCAGCACATCCATTACATATATATATGTATATAAACCCATATGTTTCGGACAGAAACGTCTCAAAAAAATATGCAACAAACTGATCGCTAATGTTCATTTTTTCCCGTATCTTTTTGTGCTGTTGTAAATCGGTTGCCATGTCCCAGACAGGACCTCTCAGTCGCTGCGGCTAAATATACGACTGTGAGAAGAGTAAAGCCACAACTCATCACTTCCAACGTCTCTTTAATAGAAAGGTCCTGTGGTCCCCCCTGACACAGACATGCATCCTCCTGACCTAAAAACAGCCATCCACGAACACATCAGCCAGTCTGCAGGAAGCAGGTGCTCTGAGATAGAGACCAGGGCTTAGAACTGCTGAGGACATTTGTTTCCCTCTCTGACAACAGAGGGCAGAGGAAAAATAAGTGGACTTTAAAAGGAAGCAAGAAGTGAGGGAGGGGAGACTAGGAAGGGAGGGAGGTATAGAAAAGAGGAGATCATTTGATTTGAGTCTGTTTTAAACTTCATATCTGTGGAAGCAAGTATAACCTGTGATGAACCCATCCCTGAGTTTGTGTTTTCGAGCGACCACTGCAGCTGGAACCGCACTGATGAATAAATGAAGAGGCATCAAATCCAAAACTATTTTTCTCCTTACCCAAAATGCAGCACTTCATACTGTGTCCTGTTAATCATCTGAAGAAAGTTCCACGGACTTTGTGTGCACGTTTCCCAAACAACTACACGAACAATTCAAGATATTATTTACAGATAATTCCATTTCTTATAGTTATATACACAAAAAAATTAATTGTTCCCAGGAAGAACTCTGGTGTATTCCAAGTGAAATTCACCGTATTTTAAACTCTCATAAAGCACCCGGTGCAGAGTGAACAGTTACAGTGCATAGTTTGAATACCACATTTGAAAAAACAAATGCAGATATAAAAAAAACAAAAACAAATCACGACACCTTTTGTTGAATAGCTGAAGCTGCAGTATCTGTCTCTGCAGGTTTTATCTCCCTGTTTGTTCTCTACTGTTATTTGTTTTGTTTTTTGTTTTTTCTCTTCTGTTTCCTGTTCTGTACTTTGTGACTTCATAAAGAAAAGAATGAATGAAGCAGTTGAACTACCGTCCTGAAGAGGCAGGAAATAACACACAACCACCAACCATCCAACAAAATATTAAAAACACTAACAGAAATATATCAGCTCATGGTCCCAAGCTCTCCAACGCCAAACTCCCAAACAAAATCCACTATCTTTCCCCCCACGACTACTCGACCGGGGAATGTCGTCTGTCGATCCGAACACCTTGAACAAGACAATCCAGGATCTTCTCATGGATCATTGTTACTATATGATATAAAGTGACAAAACAACCAGGACTGTACACGTGTTCCCTCTTTTGATTTAGTGTTTGCGTTGTAAAAATAAACTATTGTGAAATAAACCTCAAACACAAACTGATTAAAACAACAGATGTTCACAGGGCAGGTGTAGGATCACAGATCAAAATGAGGTTCAAAATATGGCTGGCGGTCTGGGTCTGCGTTGGTTGGATGTGTAATGCTTGGCGAAATAATTACAATAAAATGTACAAGAATAAATCTAAACTTTTAAAGATAACTTGGCACATTTGATGTCTGTCGCCGTTTAGTTGAACCAACAGAAATTACAGTCGATTTTCTTGTAACGCAGCCAGTATAAATGAAAGAGTTACAATTTTAAAGCAGGAATCAACACGTCCATATCATTCCCTGTGATATGGGTGTGAACACGGCCCTGTTCACACCTGGTGTTACCATTGATCGGAGGCTGCCTTCACTGTAGCCGTCTCTCAATTCAAACCTCCAATGAGGTGCAGCTCCAAAGCATTTATCTTTATCAGACGAGCACCGAGACCGAGTGTGAAGGGCGCTCTGCTGTTGCAGAGACGGTTACATGAAATGATCCAACGCCTTATGCCGTGCTCTGGCCCGGTCGGTGCCACTGTTCACTGTTTACATAATATTCTATATGAACCAAACTCTGTGGGTTTCACCACGGTGAACCTTCAAATCTTTGGCCTGTGATCGATTTGGGGTTTGTACTCCGAGTTTGTACGCCCAGCGTCAGCGTGATACTTATTCAGACGGAGAATCCTGAATTTATTTTGACCGGTGTGCTCGGCTCATTTATCATAATCCATGAGAGGGCAGCTGGGCCACAAAGAGCAATTTGGAGCGCCGCGGTGTTCAGCCATTGATAAGACAGTAATAAGTTTGAGGAGGATTGTTTAAGGCATTATTGGACCTAGGAGTACAGTTTGCATAAGAACGTAATGAATCACTCATTTGGCCACGCGTTCTCTGGCCCGTGGCCTGCAGCGTTGTATAAGAGCTAACGCAGACGATGGTGGAAACTCAAGCGTGTTTGTAACAACGCAGCTCGAGCGGACCACACAGCAGGAGCACATGGCCATTTAGGGCTGATTTTAAATGCAAAGCACACAAGAACGCATCTGAGAGTAGTATTCAAAACTTTGCTTTGCTACCAACCATGTTGTGAATGGCAATGCACAGCTTTTAGTTTCAGCTTCACAGAAAAACATACTCCTGGAATGACAGCAACAATGGTTTGTTGGTGCTACGTAATTGGCAACCGCTCTAGGCCGACTTTGGAAGCCAGCACTATTGATTATGAGTAACACCAGATGCCAGTGTTGGATGAGCAACGAGCAGTGAGAGGCAGAGAACTGATGAGTGTGCCACGAGGGGGTTGTTTGTCTTTTGGTCAGGGATATGTGTCAGGACTCTCAACCTTCAAAATCCATCAAGCTCTAGCTGTCAAGCACCCGGCGTGTTCATTAACGCACATGAAACCTGTGGACTCTGTTTTCTTCAACTTCAAATCCACCGTTAACCTTAATATTATCCTCCATGTTCTCTCGGTCGTTTTTTTAGGACACTGTGAAACGGATATTTGTCAAACGACAGCGTAAAAAAAAAAATGACGTCGAAAACAAATCAAGTCAGACCTACTTTTCTACTTTTCGTCATTACACACGTAACGCACAGATTATTCAACACAACTCCTGCAAAATAAGCAGCGCTGAATATGTTCAGCACTTTTCTCCTGCTGATACAACAAAACAGTCCCAGCAGATACCGACGCTGCACCTGCGATGTCGGTCACAGCTTCGCAAGTGACTTAATTTATGTTAGCAGGTCACACACACACACACACACTGTGCTAAAATGTGACATATTGTACCTTTAAAAAAAAATCCTTAACTAGTAAACCATCATCTGATGATGATTCATTTTTGTTGGTTTTAATAAACACTGAGAATTCAAAAAAATGAAGGGAAACTAAATATTAAACAGGAAAAACCAGGTGACAGGAAGTCAGTGGTTCAGGAACAGAACACAGTGCAGGTGTTTATAAATAGAATAACCTTCACGGGTGACAAAAAGTGACTGTACGCAGTAAAATACTTGGTACAAACACAAATAAATATATAAAATAAAAGCATAGATTTACAATTTTGTGTTAGTCTAAATACTTTGCAATGTAAAAGTTTTCAATACTAAGGATTGACTACGTATGACAGAGCACGTACTGTAGGTGTAAAGATACTACAGACAGGGCCCACATGTGTTGTGTGTGTCCCAGCTCTGTGAATTGGAAATGTTTCAAAAAAAAAAAAAAGTGATTCTACTTGTTCTGCAGTGGATTGCAAAACCTTCCTGTGGGTCTGAATCAGTGTTCTTGGATTTGTATCCTTAGTCCTCGGAGCCAGAGACACAGACAGAGAGAGAGAGAGACACAGAGAGACAGAGAGAGAGAGAGAGGGATTTGCTGCCTCACTCCAGCAGAGGGAGGTGTACTCAAGTCAGGTGCAGCCCGTGAAGGTGTCAGCTGAGCCGAATCCTTATCATCATAACATCATAACAAACTGGTTTCATCTCTGATCAGACTGGTTCGACCAGTCAGCCTGTCAGCCTGATGGTAGGCCTTTTCAAAAGGCTCTGATGTTTGTGAAAATACTGGTTCGATCAGTCAGCCTGATGGTAGAGCTTTCCAAAAGGCTCTGATGTGAAAATGGATTTTTTTTAATTATCTTAAGGTGATTATATTATCTATACAGCACGTTTAAAATGCTGCATGACCTCTCTCTGTGTGTCTCACACACACACACACACACCCAAATACATTGTTGAAATTCAATCTCAAAGTGTAATAAGATACACTGAAACTTGTGACAGGTAGACATCTGTATGTGGTTCTCAAAGTGAGGGGTTCATGCCCTTAGATGGCACAACAGTAGTTCAGTATCTTCTTCTTTTCCATTGACCATATTCTCCTTATAAATCCCACAGTGGGAAAATGTACTGATTACACGTCTATTGATTTAGTTTAAAATTCCATGGTAACAGTTTTTTGTCTCAGTTCTGAGAGAAAAGGTCAACTTAAAACTGCAGTTGTTGCTACACTTTAGCAACTGATGCAATCGGACCTCAGTACTGCACATTCATGAAGCAATTCAGATGTGTACACAACAGCTGTAATCCTCCTGCTCAGAGGGAGGATCAGACTGTGGAACTGCCATGGAGATCCTCAGTCATCTATGATCATGATCAACGTGAAAGAGTTCTGTTTGGTAACTGGACGTGAATGTTCTAGAAGAAGCCGTTTCACATCTCTCCTCCAAGAGAAGGCTTCTTCTTCATGGAGATGCATTTAAAATCTGCGAGGGACCAAGTGGATCACGATCAATGAAGTGCGTCTAATAATAAATACAGGAGTTTTATTATTAATGACGGCGGGCACTATTGGCTGCCGTATCTGTGGCAGCATCTGTATCCAGTTTAAAGTCGCTGCTGCCTCTACTGTAGCTCAGTGCGCATCTGACAGTGTGTGCACTCGCAGCACGCAGTGGAAAAGAGACCGACGGCAGGACACGGAGCTCGTCCACGGCAGAGGAGTCTTTAATGAAGTCAGGGCGAAACAAACACTTCTTCTGCTCCGTCTGCTCGTGGCTCCATCACTACGCGCCGAGTAGCGGGATGAAACACACACCCCGATCTTTATCGGCATCAGCATCGCGGTGAAGAGCCAGGGGTGCGCCGACAGAGACGGTCTCGCACAGAGGAGCTGAGTCCACCCATCCGAAGACAGACAGACAGACAGACAGACAGACAGACGTCCGTCCACGGGGACTACAGCGGGATGCTCCAAGATGTGAGTTAGGCACCAGGGACTGCGTTGGTTGGTTGGTTGGCCGTGCTCCGTCTCCATGTCATCAGACTAAAGGTGTTGGCAGCGTGCACACACTGGAGGCGTTCACGGACTCCAAAGGTAAACTTGCATCACATCCCTGCGAGGCGCTGGTGCTGATACAGAAACCTCAGAAACCTCAGTGCTGAAGACGGAGAAGTCGCTGTGACTTCTCGACCAGCTTTTGGAGCCTCCCTTTGGGTGAGTCCAGAACATGGGGCAAATATATAAAAGTGCTGGTTATTTGTGGGGGGGTTTCCGTTGCATTTTAATCGTAATTTTATTCTTCATTTTCACACACACACACATATATATATATTTATATATATTTATATATATATGAAAATGAAGTTTTATTCTTCATTTTCATATATATATGAAAATGAAGAATAAAACTACTCTTAATAATAAATATATATATATATATATACACTGGAGAAAATGAAAAATAAAATTATAATGCACTGTACTGCCTTTTTTTTTTTTTTTTAAATCGTATTATACAGGTGGTTAGTGAGAAATATGTTGCGACTTCTGGCTTTCGGATGCACTACCAAGAAAGATTTATAATGTTTTATACACGTGATGTATTGAGTGTTTTCGGATTGTAGCCACATCAATTTACCTTGACATTTAAGTAATTTACACTTACTTTACTTAATATTTTAATGTGATTATTAACAAATAAAGAAAATAAATTTTCGGGGTTAACTTTAGAATCAGTGCGGAGGTCATGGCTGTTAACCTTTAGACCAGAAACTAACAGAAAGGTAATGGTTGGCTATAAAAAACTCTTTTATCTTTTTTTTTTACTTTACTTTAAAAGTTGATACATTGATAATCACGAACTCTGTGCTTGGTGGTAAAATAAAAAGCACACGCCTAGTTTTAGCTTCAATGTATTTTCATAATAACGACTTATGAAAAGTGCAATTATTTTGTTCAGCACAACGTGCCAAAGCAGTGTGCTCTACAGGTTAATTGTCACAGGGTGTGCCTCAATGTCTAGAATGTATTTGGTTGGGTTGAAATAAGGTCAAACGATCATTTTTAAAACTGATCAATACATTTATATATATATATATATATATATAAATATATAGTGACTCTCAGAGACTTGTTACACATTTACCATTTTAAAGGAGTTGCCGTTTTACTAAAAATTTAATGTAGTTTATTGTGAATGTTAACCTTAGTATTGTATTGATACCAGTTGTGCTTCAGTGTAGAACCTGTGAGTAGATCACAGCCTTTAGACCAGAAATTACTCTTACTATTTATCAGGTAACTTCATCAGGTAACTGATAAAAATATAAACCTTTAAAGGCCTGCGGACCTACTGTCTGAGGCTGGTCTGACCCGAGCCAGGCATCAGACCTGAAGTTGAAGATCCAGCTGGGCACTGAGATGCGGAAGTGAAACAAAAACTTTGCCCAAGTGTTTTTTTTTTCGGATTAATTTCACAACTTGATTATCAGAAGTTTAAGCGTTCATCTTGACAGCTCTAGCCTTTTTGCTTATTTTATGAAGAAGGCGATCCAGCACAGGGTCATCAACAGAGCTGCAGTCAGTCGTGAGGCCGAGCTATAGCTTTAATCAATTAGCGCACTATGGGAAGGGACGGAGAGCGCAGGTGCCTTCAAAGCAGCAGAATGAGCCTTTTTAATGTGGGACTCAATGACTTCACTCAGCTGGGTCACTAGACTCACAGCGAGGCTTTGACGCATACAAATTGTACTTGAAGATACTGCGTTCATCCATGCGGGCTTTGCGGTTGGCTCAGGACCAGTGGAGCCAGGACATTGCACTCCAGATGGCCTGGAGAGGCCAGAGGAAGAGAGCCGTCCCAGTAGGAGGACGAAGGGAAGCTGGACTGCCAGAATATTCAGTGTGTGTCTCGAACTCGGTTAGGTCATTGAGAGAATGGCAGAATAAGTCACAAAGAATATGGAATAGAGGCGTGTGCTGTAATACATATATATATATATATACACACAGTGGAACCTTGAGCCACGAGCATTATCCGTTCCAGGACCGAGCTTGTAACTCGAGGTGCTCGTATCTCAAATCCTGTTTTCCCATAAGAAATAACAGAAAAACAATTAATCCGTTCCAGATCTCTAAAAAAAAACTCCCTTGTTAGCGCTAATAACAATGGAAAAAACACGTTTTTAATTACTATAGCGACATTTACAGACACAAAAAAATGATAGTATATAAGGATTCCTGTGAAATACAATAAAATATGGTTTTAACTGAGATGAAGAAAGGGTAGGGGAGTGGATGTTGATGTGTTAAAGGTGTGTTGTATGATAGAACGATAGCAGTATGTCTGAAAGCCAAGGTCTAGGTCAGTAGTGAGACATGCTATGATGTGTGCTTTTAAGGTTAGAACTTTGTAATTGCTACTAACTGCTGTAAAGGCACAGATACAGAACATAATGATAGTTTATTAGGATACATGTGATCTAAAATAGAATATGGTTTTAATTATAAGTTCTTACTTAGGAAGAGGAGGAGGGAGGAAGGGAGGGAAGAGAGTTGGCCCGTATGTAGACACTTGATTCCGTAGCGTACCTTACACGTACACTATGTCACTTACATAACTTAGAACATACTTAACTTACTGAACGGGGGGGGTTGACAAATGAACCAAGAGCCTCTGTATGTTTACAAGCATAGTGTCTCCCTCCCACTTGCATAAAAAAGCGTGGGACGCAGAAGAAACAAAAAAGAGGATGAAAATCCCTGCCTGTTCATTCAGTTGTGTGTTTGTTTGTTTGTGTGTGTGTGTGTGTGTGTGTGTTCCAAATGAGTGACAGGGATGTATAAAGTCTACGGAATGAAGAAAATGAAAAAGAGGAAGAAGCAGGTCTAGTGGGAGGAAGGCAGAAAATTGAACTAAGAAACAGGCGTGTGTGTAGGTATGAAGGGGGTGAGGAGTATCCATGGGAGTTTGGATGGGTGAGGAGCGGGAGAAAAATGCTACAACGTGTTGTTGTTGTTCACAGGCCTTTTCATGGAACCCAACAGTAGCTTCAGACACATACCTTTGTTGCGTGCACAGCATCAATTAACTCTATTAACTAAAAATGATCAGGACTGAATGACGCCCTGTTAGTCTGAAGCCAACCACAAACACACCTTCATGTCTCCGATTCATTCTCGTTCTGCTGCATCTGGTCTGTGATGGAACCGAGATGAATCTGAACCCATTTTTACAAAAATAATATAAAATGTTTTCTGAAATTATTATTATTTATATTATCAATATATTTGTTTGTTGTTTAAATTTGATGTAGTTTATTGTGAATAGCCTGAGTCTGAGTTTGCCGGGCGTTTGGAGCGACTGTGGCGACGGCAAAGAGACATTTCACAATGTGTCACAGGAGCTACCATGTAAACTACCCAGAGGGCAGAACACTACGAGCAGGAAAAGCCGGTGAGTTAAGGGCAGCATTGCGCAACACCCAAAAAGCAACTGAAGCCTCATTTAGAGCGACGCAATTCTTGATTAAGAAAAAGAAGACCTCAGACGGGGAGGATGTCAAAGAAGCAATGATGCTAATTGCTAGAAATTTACTTGAAGACGAGAAATATGGAACCAAGCAAGCAACAGCGGCAAGAAGAGTTTGGGCGATGTCCGGGAACTTGGTCGACCAGATGGACCGTGATCTGGCGAGGTGGTCAGCATCAACCAGTCTGACGAGTCGGTGGACGGGGTTTGATGATTTCTCCACAAAAGAAGAACATCTGACACTACAGACAACGGGAGGGGAGATGACATCTAACATAAATACCATAAGTTCATTGAATTGCAGTCATTCTCTAGTGGGGTTTCCTTTTAGATGGAGGGTTATTACGTTTGGATGGAGTAATGTATTACCTCATTAAAATACAAGACCAGGAAATGGACCATATTTCACTGGAACCAAAAACTGAACCAGACCAAAGCAGCTGAGCTGGGACTGACTTTGTGTTAACAGATCATTTCTGATCCACAGAATCAACCGCTAGCCCTAGACTAGCACAGAAAAAAAAGTACCCACAGCAAGGTACAAATTTTTATAACAGCGTGGAAACAATGCCGAAGCTATCAAAAGATATTCTGTAAATTTCACACCGACATGTCCTTTCTACCCATAACTCCCTTGAGCAGTTTGGACCTTCTCCTTGTCTAACAGCCTCACCCGCAAAGTATGGCGCGATCAACCTATCACCTCTAACGGGAACAAAAGGTCACTCCTTAATTATTCATTCAGGATGTCAAACAATGCTCGCTGGCTGTTATTTAGGGTGAGGGAGACCCACTGAATAATTCACAGGCAGGATTCTATTTCCTCCCTTTGAGGAGGGACTCGTAGGTTCATATATTTGTGGGAGTCTTATCTCCATGAAGAAGAAGCCCTCTGTCAACGCTCAGTGACCTTGGCTGTCAATGGTGCACCTGCGTGGATGGCACAGAAAGTGCCAGGGACTCGTGTTCTTCCCATATCTCCGGTTCTCCTCCACACGAGGGGAGTGAGTAGGGCGGTGACGTGGGTTTTCCTACAGACACGGTCAGCAGTTGCTGAACCTGTCGTAGCCTCGTCTGTGGCTCTGCTGCCTGTTGGCTGGAACTTCTAACTGAAGGATGCTGTTTCAAAAATATCAAAATGACAACTGAAGGATGCTGCTTCAAAAATATCTCTTATCAAAAATGATGTACTCTTAAAAGCAAAAGGCACTGGTGTTTCGTCAAATTTACACAGGCAGATTTTTGAATCACACAGATTACAGAACTCAAGAAGCCTCTAGAACAGGCGTGGGCAAACTTTTTGACTCACGGACCACGACTGCAGATGGTGAACTAAGATAAATGACATGTAAACGTCATGCATAAAGGCTAAAATGCTAAAATGTTTTTATCATTTTCTACGACATCTATTGGGGAAACGTGGGTGTTGAAGGGAAAAGTCAGAAGTAAAATGATTATATAATTAAAAGCCCTGTCGGCCTTTCTCCCAGTAACGTTACCCTCAATGCCACTTACTGTGTGCTAGATATTGGTAAAAGAGTTCGGTTCTTAGGCTTTGTGAAAAAAAAAAGGGAGATGCAAGATACTTTTCTATCTGGGGGGCCGGGGGGGGGCAGGAACCCTGGTCCAGGGGTCGGACCTGGGCCAGGTGCTCTTTAAATCTGAAAACTGCAGGGCGCCTGGA